TTTCTGCACTGTGCTAACCTTTGTAAAAAAACAAAACACTTTTTGAAATGGCGAGGTTATTTTTCTGATACGCCTGTTCTTTGTGGCAAATAACTGTAATGCCAAGGCATGGTTCCAAATTAGTCACTTGCTACAATTTAAAAATACTTCAGCAGTTTGCTCTGGCACACCAGTTTCAGCCTATTTCTTCAGCTTTCTCTCACAACAGTGTCTTCGTATGAAGATTCACAGAAAGGTTGAGATTAGAATCTAAAAACAGCCCTAGATGTAGCCGTCTATTTTATACCAGGAATATCTGTCCAGCTTCTAAAATATTCTTTTCCTCCCGTCAAGTAATAAATACACATTTTTAAAAGAGTAGCGTGCAGCTAGGAGGCTGCAAAAATACATGTTTTTAAAAGAGAAGAAAAGACAGTCACAGTCATCTCTCCAAATGACATTTTCTAAGGGAGCCCCGGCCCTGTGGGTCCAGGTTGACTGGCTGCCTTCAGGGATGCTTTATGCGAGTATACAATTTTGTTTGGGACTAAACTGAGATTGCTCTCCGTTCCTTTAAATTAAAACCAGCAACTGTGCACATGCAAGAGCTTTAGGCATCTTGATGTTCAAGACCAAGTTTATTACATAAAAGTGGAGTAATCCAGATCATCTTTTAAATTTCTAGCGTTAATTCCCCAACATTATAAATTTCAAGAAGTAACACCACCAGCCTATATTGCATACTTAAGCTAAATTTAAAGGGTTCCTTCTCCACCCATCATAGAACAAATTATTCTGAGTAACAGATTTTTTAAATCCAGCAAGTTCTAGGCATTTCACTGAGTTCCCTCTCAGAAGCCATACACTCACCATTAGTCAATTCTATGATAACCCCCTAAATTTGCCAATCAGAAGCAATGACGAAGACTATGTTGTTGAGTGCTCAACATGTAGCAGATGTGTCACACCACCTCTACCTCACCTGCCCAACAGCCCTGTAGGTAAATATTATCATCATCTTGTTTTAATGATTGAGATCTAAGAAGCTTGGGAGAGGTCAAGTAACTGGCCCAAGGTCTTAAAGCTATTGAAGTGGCACAGGAAGGCCAACGCCAGACCAACTCCAAAGTCCAAGTTTCATCTACCATACCTGCTCTTCCTATGACTGGCTCATGACTTTTACTCTCAACGAGACTGAAAAAGTTCTTCTATGTCCACCTACAAGAACTTTTTTGAGCACTCGTTTAACTGTTTCAAAACCCTGGCCATCCCTTAATCACACTACAAAGTCTTTTTTATTGTATGTACAGCTGTTATCTAAGTGACACAGCCCACAGGGGACACAGAGGGCCCAAGGACTCTACATTCCAAGAGCTGCATAAACAGTCAGCACATTGATATCAGCAAAACTGTAGGGATTTGATAACTACAATGCTAATCAGCTACAAAATTGTTGGACAGACTTCCTATTACTGAGCAAATGAGCCTATTTAGTTAACCCAAAAATATCACCAACTAAAAGCAATTAGAGCATTCCCAACCTGAATCTCAAGCCTTACAGCCAGAAGTGCTGAAATAATGTGCATGGAAAGCTTACTGAAAATACTTTTTCTCAGAAGCTGTTATAATAAACACAAAAATTCAAACTGTAGAAAGCACTACCTTTACTTCAGAAATCTTGCTCAAGACACATGTCCGTTTGTTTAATCTAAAACGAGAGCTGCTGTTTAATCAGCAGCTGGGTCCCACCGGCTTCACCGACTTCCACGAGGTCCTTTCTCTGGAGCTGCTAAACGCTTCCTCTGCGCTCTGTGACCTAATGCACCACAGAACAATGGCAGTGGTTTCCCCTCTGACCACTGCCCCAATATTAATAAACCGTGGGCTGAGGGGAATGCCTTCGCCCATACAAGAGCTGTCTTTCTTATGGGAATCCGGAATAATCTTATAAAAGGCACATAATGGGATACTATGATCTGTAGAAAAGAACTTAACTGCAATCTTAGTTCGGCAACTTAACTGTGTGAAAACAGTGGACTTTCTCCCTCTCTGAAAGCTTCCTAGTGAGGGCCGGCAAGATGTCAGTCTACCTAACAAGGATATTTCTGTATTTGCAGAAATACAGATTCTCAGGAAAAGAAGCTTCCTGAGAGGGTGTAAGGGACTCCGAGAGAGAGAGAGAGAGAGAGAGAGAGAGAGAGAGACCCAAAATAAAGTGCAACCAAGAAATGCCTTTTGCCTCTAACGGGCAAAGGCAATGACATATTTACAAAGTTTTATTATGATTAAATGGATATTTGTTAACTTCTGAATCTAGAAATTATTTTGGATGACCAAAAAAAACCCAAAAAACCTTGGATAAATAAATTTCAGTTTAAATGCTGAATTTTAGTAAATTGCCTCATTTCTTTCCCCGTGCAAATGGGCTGGCAAAGGATAAAATTCAAGTATTTTTTCCAATCTGGTTTTGGTAAGCCATGCTTTCTCCAAGACGTTATTAACCAATTTGAACTTTAAGTAGAAAGATGTGGCTAACGAGGCAAAAGACCCCATGCAATGATCTGTCCTTAATGTGACGATGGCCAGCCCCGCAGATAATTAAAGCTTGGGAGTTATTATGTTTTCAATGTTTAACTGCTCTTTTATATACCATGTATATTCAGAGGGGTACATCTTTCATAATCAGTGATCTCACTTACGAGGATTAGCTCCAAGGTTCCTTTATTCTCCTTGGTCTAGAATCCATCTCTGCTACCAGGATTAATAATCTCTTCTGGATGGAAATACAAACCCCAAAATCTATGTGTGATTGTGCATCTTTTCCACAAAATTTAACTTTACTTACCTGTCAGTCATAAGCCTCATGTCTAACCATACACCTTCCAAGCAACAGAATATGAAGGGAAAATGTAAAAAGCTGCTATAAATCACCAAATACTTCTTTATGCTTTATTTATGTCAGGATTTGATCTTTCTATTTATGAATTAATTTTTCTGATTTTACAGCACTCAAAAAAATTTAGATTATTTATACCACCATTAAAAAAAGCACGTTAAGAGATTTATAGGAAGGCAAGTTTCTATAGGTTCCTACATAGGATCCGTTTTTCAAAATATAAAAATATTCGATTAAGTGCAAGTCATCTGGAAACTTCTTGAATCCCTTCCATTCTTTATCCATTATCCTACTCTGGGGCTAATTTTCAATTTAATCATCAATATCTTTCAATACCAATATCAACATCTTTCCATAGTCTTTTTTTAAGTGTGTGAGTGTGTGTGTGTGTGTGTGTGTGTGTGTGTGTGTGTGTGTGTATTTATTTATTTCAGTGAGGAAGGGAGAGGGGGAGAGAGAGAGAAATATCAATGAGAAAGAATCTTTGATCGGCTGCCTCCTGCACGCTCCTGACCGGGGATCGAGCCTGCAACCCGGGTACTTGCCCTTGACCAGAATCGAACCCAGGACCCTTCAGTCGCCAGGTGACTCTCTATCCACTGAGCCAAACCAGCTAGGGCCATACAGTCTTTTATAACTTCCCAGATACTTTCTGTGACTCCTACCTGGCCTGCCTATACACTTCTAATAATAGTCACTCTTCTTATCTATCATATCAGAAAACAGAATTCACCTTACAAATATTTGATCTAAGGCAGTGGGAGAAATTTAGCCATACATTATATGATACAATGGTAATAGTTAATACTCAACTAAAGGACACTCAATGACACAACCTGGCATAGCTCTGAAAATAATTACATACAGCTTTCATTGTAGACGTGTTTGAAAACTATGTCTTTGCTGGGGACGGTAACTGCCATGTTCATACCCAATTACCATCATTCTAAAATAACCCTCAACTTCAAAAGTATTCCTAGGCAGTTACAAGGCTTGAATCAGACAAGCAGGGGGATCGAAGACACCCCCATGGCCTCAGTATCTTCAACTAAAAAATGAAGAAATTGTACTAAATTTTCTTTATATACTATTCCAACTTGAAAATTCTATGATGGTGACAGGAGAAGACTTGACTTTGGGTGGCGGGCATACAGTGCAATATACAGATCTTGTACACATAGAAACTCACACCTGAAACCTATGTGTTCATGTTGACCAATGTCACCCCAACCAATTTAATAAACAGAATAAAATTAAGAAAATTCTATGAAATTTCAGTCTCTTCATTTCAAAGATAAGCAGCAGATGATAACGACAAATTAGCCTAGATTTTTTTTTTCCTTAAAAAAAAAAAAAAAAAAGACCCAACTTCGATGCTTTCTGCGGTTGGTGTTTTATCTAGGAAAATAAACCGCATATGAAAAACGGCATCGCTAAAATAGAAAGAAAATCACGACTTAGCTAAAATAGAAACTTCAATCACCCTTGGGCCATTTTGTCAATAGTTATTCAAAGGCTGCTACTCTAATCACTGGCTTCCTAAAATAGAAATATGCATAGAGTTGTTTCCTTCTCATGCCCCGAGATTCAATCAGAATAAAAAGCACAGCGTCTAGCACCCGTTTGTAACTTCAGCACAAGCGGCAGGGGGGGCAGGGAACCCCGCAAGCCCTCGATCCTGAGCATTTACTAGCAGGTGCGCGATGAGAGCTAAGAAACGGGTCTCACTGCGAGACGGGGAGACTCGCAGAGGGCAGGTGACATCTGCAAAGGGAAGCGGAACGGCCAGGAGGGGATGCGGGCTGAGGGCGTTCAGGCAACAGGTCTGGAGCCAGGACCGCAGTCGGCCCGGGAGGGGTCGGCCGCCGCCACCCCCTCGCCGCCCGCCCAGCCCCAGCCCCAGCCCCAGCCCCAGCCGCATCGCCTCGCCCCCGCCTCGGCCCCGGGGAGGCAGCCCGCGCCTGCGGCACCAGCCTCCCTACTCGCTCGCTCTCCCGGGCCTCCCGCCCCGGCAGGCCCTCCGGTTCCGCGGCGCCGAGGCCGGCCCGGCCTGCCGCCTCCCCCCGGGTCTCCGCGGCCCCGCAGCCCGACCCCCGCAGCCCCTGGCCGCCGCGGCCCCGCTCACCTGCACCTGTTTGCGGAAGTGGCACGGCCCGGGCGCCGCCGGCGGCCAGGAGCAGCAGCAGGAGCAGCAACGCCGGTGGCCCCGGCATCTCGCCCACCGCACGGCCCGGGGCCGGCTCTCGGGTGGCCTTCCGTCCGTCCGTCCGTCAGTCGCTCCTGCCGCCCTTACGCTGCCTCAGCGGCACCGCGCTGGCCGCTCCGGAGCGCGCGTCGCTTCGGCCAAACCTCAGCCCGGCTCCCGGTCCGCACCCGCCGCTCCGGCCACAGAACCACCATCCTTCCCGCCCGCCTCGCCGCCGCCGCCGCCGCCTCTCAACAGCAGCAACGGCAGCAGCCCTGCGGCACCCCGGGCCCCGGCAGCCGCGCTCCCGCCGCCATGATGGGCTGCGTCATGTGACGTAGAGCGGGGGCGGGAGGCCGTGACGGACAGCCCAGCTAGCCAATGGCCAGCTCCACAGGCCACAGGCGGCCCCGCCCATTAACCTGTCAGAGAGTGTGTGTCTGAGGGTGCGCCCCCTGCAGACCGAGAAGTGCGTGGGCAGCAGGTAATACCGGCAACTATCTTAAATTTAAAAACACGGGAAAGCATAAAGACAATAAAAAGCACCCGGAATCCATCCTGAATTTCTCCCTCCCTATTTTAAAACATGTTTTGCCTTCGGCCTTTTTTACTGTCGGAGCCGTTTCAGGCTCTTCTCCTTAAGGTTGACCTACACATCCTATCAGCCATCAAGGCGCTTTTGGTTTTTTATTTCAAGAATAGAATCCCTCTTCCCTCACACCCCCTGACTCAGCTCCTGAGCTCAAGCCATTCCCTTTGCCAACAGTGCCCTCCTGCCCCGTCCTGGCCACCTGGCACACTCCCTCTCATCTGTCAGCACTCACCTGGAGGAAGGCGTCATCAAAGCAGGCCGCTCCCCATCCCAGGAGGAATGACTAATGTCTCCTAACCCCCCGCCCCGGCCCTGGACAGACTGCTCCACCAGGTGCCCTATTTTATTGTTCCTGTGACTGTAAGCTCCCTGAGGACAAGAACTGTGCCCCTGTCAGCAGGGGTCCCCGGGGGCTGGCTCAGAGCAGGGGTTCTCTAAAGGAAGGGTGCCTGTCCTATTCCTGGGAGCAGCTCCCAGGTCCACCCTCTCCCCACCCCAGGACAAGGCCCAGCCAACAGGGGGAAAGGGCAGAGAAAGCATTTTCCAGGCCCAAGTAACATAATCATGAGAGGCCTAGAGGCTGGGCAAAGGTTGGGCTTTTCTGGAAAATGCACTGTAGTCCAGTTTGTGCCTGAGAGGAACTGATCTGAATCTTATCAGATGGGCTCTACCAACCGGCAGCCGGGGAGCCTCCCCAGTTCTCCAAACTCCTCAAACGCCCATCCTCAATGCCCCCTCTCTGTGGTGCTGAGCTGGCGCTGGACAAACAATACGTGCCCAAGAATATCTGTCCAGTGATCAAGGTGAGCCAGTAAACACTAAGGAAACAAACACTGGCTGGCATGTGAAGTGCTGTTGCAGCGGCATGGCTATCTGCTGATCTCCACGTGGGAACGGGAAGGAAGGCGAAGGTCTCGGAAAGAGACACAGCCACCCTGTGGTGCTTCGACATCCATCAGGAAGCCGGACGTGGAGTCCCCGGAAGCGGGGAACGCTGAGCTTGCCTGCAGTCCATCCTAATGAAAGTGCACCCCAACGCCACGCGCCAGGCCAGGATCGCAAAGCAGGTTGCATGATCATCTGAGCAAGCCCAAAGGTTCTTTGAGAAAACTTTTTTTCCCCCACTTGACAGCACAGGGGTTGAGGTGCACATTCCTCAGAGGCTAACGGCAACCTTTACCCCTCCCCCCTCCCTTGCCCAGGGCTTCTCTTGAAGGCTCCCGGAATTTATAAAACAAATGAAAACCTGCCGGCTTTGTCTCATTTCACCTAGGAGTCAGAAAGTAACCTTTGGCACAAATGTGGGATTAAATCCCAAACTGTGATGGTGGGAGGTATTGCACCGCATGTTGCTGTGATCTGCGCTCTGAGGTTATGCACATCGATTGCAGCTGTATAGTAGAAATGCTATGTGATACTAGGCTACTGCACACCTCTTCCCCACTCCCCCTTCAGTGATATCATGTCTGTAGCTTGAAGTACGCCGTGGTGTGAGTCTTTACACCATGGAAATTGGCAAACAGTTCTAATCAGGGCTCTTTTCCTCCCAGAGAGCCGTCTGTTCCGCAACTAGTGGTCTTGCCTAGGGGACCCTCCATAGGGCCTGATGACTGCCGCTTGCTGACCCGAATCTTTTCTGTGGTTGCATTACTTTACTTCAGCCTTTGGCAAATAAGGCGACTGCGCAGACTGAAAGCCAGACTTCTCCTGGTTCTCTGCCAATCGAACAAAGGTCGCATACCTCATCCTGTCTCGCCTTCTAAATGCCTTTGTATTAAGTCCTCACCTTTTGTTGTCTTCTGGATCCTCTGTCTAAAACTGTCTGAGTCAAGGACAGCGCACCAGGTGCATTTCAGAGTCCTGAGGCATCTCCCATTTGGGGGGGCACACCTATATGGCAAAAATATAAATGAATGAATGAATGAATGAAAATAAGAACTGCTGAAGCAAGGCTCAAATACATGCTGAAGTAAGTGTAACAAATGAACACTTTTAATGGACCACATAATTTATATTGCCATATAACGATGCTATCCACAACATAATTACAGGATTTATGTACACAACAGACAGTGAGATTCAGCAATGAGATTGCACTTTAAAATTGTATTATGAATATATTTTTTCCAAGCTTATTGGTGTGTACAGCTTCATTTGGAGGTGAGTTTTATTTGACAATGACTTAAAAACCACGTTCTCCCTGTCAGGCACTGCTCTGAGCACTTTGTAAGTAATAACTCTTTAAAATTCACCTAATTCTAAAATAGTTTCATCGTTCCTAAAAGAAACTCTATACCTATTAGCAGTCACTCCCCACTTCCCCTCTCCCGCTAGTCCCTGTCAACCACTCATCTATTTTTTGTCTCTATGGACTTCCCTAACGTGGACATTTCCTATAAATGGAATTATACAATATGTGGCTTTTGTGACTGGCTGCAGCTACGGTTCCCATTTTACAGAGGAGGAGGTTGAGAAACGGAGAGTTAAGTACTTTGGCAAGGTCATGTGGCACAGGTAGGACCCAAACTCGGGCAGGCTGGCTCCAGAGTCCTTGCTAAGTCTCAACATCAAAACTGAATGAGGTCAAAGTGTACGGGCCAAAATGCCCCTCAGGGGAGAGGCCCTACTAGGAGTTGCCTTCTGCTGGGGACAGAGGTGGGGATAGGGAGAAGAGTGGAGGTGGGGACACCAATACTACCCTGAAGGCAGTAGTTGCTCAATAAAGTACATTTTTCCATTGTGAAAGGCAGAACCTCCTCCTGGAATGAACACTTGCATTTTTTCCCTTTGGCCCGCCCAGCAGCTGAATCCCTTCATTACCGAGAAAGCCCCATGATAGGAATCTTGGAATGGGAAGGCCACCTCCACTATGAAGACTGGGGGTCAGATATGCCCTCTGGGGCCCCAGCAGCGGTGCACAGGCATCCTTTCAAGTCCGAAAGGGTGCCAGCCGCCTCGACATCCTAGCACACAGTTCCCCAGGTGGGACCTGGTGACCTCCCCACTGCCCAGCCCCCTCAGTGGCTACTTATGGCCTGAGCCCAAGTGCCCAGCTCTTCGGTGCCTGTCCAGAGTTCTCCAGCGACTTCTCAGCCCTGCTCAGCCTCTCCAGGATCAGAAGATGCTCACAACCAACTCAGCTATGTCAAGCTTCTGCAAAGACCCGTGGCCACTCCTAACGGGCGGCCAGATCCACAGGAGCTGCACCCGAACCAGACCCTCAGGCGTCCATCAAGCATCAACTTCATGTCGATCGCTGTGCTGGGCACTGGCGATGCCGTGATGGACAAGACAGATGGAGTCCGTCCCTCCTGGCGCTTGTGCTTGTTGGGCACAGAAGTCACGCAACCTATGACGCAATTAACTGTGAATGTGCTGTTGTGATAGTGGGAGGTTGTGAAGAGTGTGTGCACAATCCAGCCTGACCCAGCCCTGCTTAGGGATCCAGGAAGGCTTCTCGGAGGAGGTGACACATAAGTGGCAATCCCAAGGATGAACAGGAGGTAGTGCAAGAAAGGGATAAAGGAAGGAGCACGGGTTTTAATGTTTTATCTCGGATGTTTCAAAGTGGAGGCCATCACTGTCTGATAGTAGGACCCTGGTCAGGTAAGTTTTAATGGGGAAAGGGAAGAGTCTGGTATAGACCATGGGGTCGGGGATGCCCCGGGAGTATGGCAGGGTCAGGCCCTGAGTATGGTGTAGACACAGGGCTTGGGGATGACATGGAGGATGGCTGGGCTGGGGGCTGGGCTGGGTCCTGATTCCGCCCATTTCTCCCCTGCAGTGGGGCGGGGGGGGGGGGGGGGGGAGCGTCATTTCCATTTTTGGCTGCAAGGCAGACACACACAGTTCACACAGACGGCCACTTCCTCCCTCTGTGTACCTGCCTTTCCCTGGAGTAGGGCTCTTGGCCGCTCCTCACACACTCCTCGCAGCTCCCTCCCCGGACAGTCTGCAGCGTGTGTCTGGGGCGGGATGCGTGTTCCCGTCACATCTGCTCCTCACCTATCATTTGACGACTTCAACCAACCTAGGTCCTAGGACAGTGATGGCGAACCTTGTGAGCTCGGCGTGCCAGCATTTTGAAAAACCCTAACTTACCTCTGGTGCCGTGTCACATATAGAAATTTTTTGATATTTGCAACCATAGTAAAACAAAGACTTATATTTTTTTGATACTTATTTTATATATTTAAATGCCATTTAACAAAGAAAAATCAACCAAAAAAATGAGTTCACGTGTCACCTCTGACAGGCGTGTCATAGGTTCGCATCCACTGTCCTAGGAGGTGGCTGTGGTGCGCCGGCCCCGTTCCAGGTTCCAGGCACCCGAGTGAACAAGACGCGGGCCCTGCTCTGGGGAGTGGCATCCTGGCACAGGCAGCGCCAAGTCTGCTGTGGAAAGTCCTGCCTGGCTCCACGTACCTGCCAGTCACGAGATCCTCGCCCCAAGCCCGGGAAACTGAGGCTGGCTTCCAGTGCAACCTCTCCTGTCAGCCCCGCAGGCCAGCTGGGGAGGCGGGAGGCGGGTGGCGGGTGGCGGGTGCCAGGCGGCCTGCCCGTGCAGGTGGGAGCGTCACCAGGGTGGGGCTGGCACGTGGGCCCAGCGTGGCTGGAAAGGGCAGGCAGGGGCCTGTGGGCTCACCCCACAACCAGCTCGTGCAACGCCACCCTCGGGCCCCTCCTTGGTACTGGGCCAGAGGGG